TTATTATTATTATTATTATTATTATTATTATTATTATTATTATTATTATTATTATTATTATTATTATTATTATTATTATTATTATCATTATTATTATTATTATTATTATTGTTATTGCTGTTATTATTATTATTAATTATTATTGTCAATTATTTGTTTTCATTCCTTTTTCTGCTATTTTGGAAAATAAAACGAGTAATAAATAAGTAGTAATTATTAAATGACAAGATAGCCTACTTTTGTCCACATTTTTGGCATGTTAATGCCATCATTTTTTCATAACTTGACATTTGACGTCGACGAGTGTTATCCGCAACTAACGTTGGCACAATATATGACGTTTGGTCTTTTGTTTCATCCAATAAAATTTGCTTAAAAAAATTACCATTCTTTTTTCTGTCTAATAAATATGCTATGATCAAAACAATAACAACAATATAATATGAATTCAAAAACTTACATTCGCTGAAAAGTGAGAAATTTCGTGTGACAAATTTTCCATAAATTGAACATTATTCTCAAGATTGGTATTACCATTAATTTTTTGTCCTTCATTTTCACTACAGTATTTCGAATGACAGTCATTTTTCCACCTAGTAGGATTTACCGTATCCGAAGTAATTTCCGTTGAAAACAAACTATCATCCTTAATATCGCGCTTGAATAGGAATTAATAATTGATTATTGCATGTAATATAAGATGGAGAAAAAAAAAAATTGGAGCAAAAAGTAATTAGTGTAAGTGAAAAAAAAAATCTTAGAGAATAAAAAGTTCATTTTTTTTAAAATTTATTACTTACAAGCTTAATTTCAAGGTTAGAATTTGATGAAGAATTGAATTTTAAATTAAAAAGTTTAATTTCAACCTTAACTGAAATTGTTCCTGATCCGAAAGTACTTGTCGAATCATCAATCGGTGCTTCCTTTTCCTAAATTTTAAAATTTTTGGGAAAAATTATTTCACTCATACTTTTCTTATTAACATAATTTTTTCAAACCTCATATTCTAAATTGCGATAACAATTGGTGTTTTTGGAGGAGCATAATGATGTATCGGAATTTGTTGATCCACTATCACTCATATTCCAGTAAAAATCAATATCTTGATGCGGAAATGCTATAAACTATTGATTTGATAAAATACAACCTGATTTGTTAAACTATTGATTTGACAAAATACAACCTGATTTGTTAAACTATTGATTTGACAAAATACAATCTTAAAAAAGGCAAAAAAAAAAGTCAAATAATCATAGTTTAATTGAAAATTTTTGATGATATTGATAATTTTTATTAAACCAATAGCAAAAAATATTCCAAAATTAAAATCTCTCAAATTTAGGAAATTCTCAATCTAATCTTAATTTTAAAAAATAAACTATAAAAACTAACCATAAGTAACAATTACAACCTTTTCCTTCTCTATTGAAGTGATACATGATCGAAAATGATCATTGAACATTTGTGATAAATCTTCATTTGGATGTGAACTTTTTAAATGAATTATGAAACTATAAAAAAAAAAGGAAGGTTCAATGATCGATGAATTATTTGAAAAATTTTTTCAAACAAAATTTTATATAAAATATTTTTGTTACTTATAGCAAAAATTGGCATTGAAAAATTTTTATGTAAATTAAATTAAATATAACTAACCTTTGTAATGTAAATATATATGCGTTACAAAATGTGCATTTGAAAGATAAAACATGCGATGTCACATCCTGCAAATGTCATTCAATTGTATCGTATCGTTAATGCTTTAGAAAGAAATGATTATATTAACATCATTTAATTTTTTTTTAAATTTATAATTCTAATTAAATCTAATTTGTTGACTGTTACAAATATCCATTAAATTTTTTTTCAAAACAGCACTTCGTTACAAATAAACAAAACAATTTTCTTTGAAGATACCTCATAAAAAGGTACATTCAATGAAATTGGTTTAATCATTTTTTGATTTTTTATTCCTACAAATCGTTTATTTATTCTTGTGGAGCATAAATAAGATGAAACCAGATTTCTTTCATCTCGCAACTTTTGATTATTCCACTGAAAAAAAGCATAATGAAATATTAAAAAAGCATTTAACATTGCTATTACTTTTTTTTTTTAAATGATTTATCAAATTTTTAGGAAAATATGAAAAGTTATAACTATGAGAGTGAAAAATTTTTAATAACAATATTTTGAATTTATTCAATAATATGATCTAAATTTAAGATATGATTATCATTGATATGATATGCAATTTAAATAGGTTATAATAGCATTAACATAACCTTTCGTTGTTTCGTCGTCCACTTCATATCAATCCTATTCCTTAACAAAAATGGTCAAAGCATTTTGCAATAAACTATAGGAAAATTTGTGAAAAAGATAAGAAATTAAACGATTATTTTAAATTGTAACTGATAAAATCATTTGTGAAATAAATCTATTTTATAATTGTGTTTAATTATAATTCAAATTTTAATTGGTGCTTAAAATTTTGACAAAAATTTGAAATATTATAGTTTATGTTAAACGATTGTTCATTCATTGATTTGGATAATCAATCATGTATGTAGCGAAGGAAAGAAAGAGAGAGAGAGAGAGAGAAAAAAATCTCTTGGAAGGTAAGTAAATTGAATAATTTTGATAGATAAATTGATTGATAACTTAAATTAGAAATAATTGGATAATTAATAATATAGTAAAGTAAAATCAAATAATCCTTTAATGTATTAGCCAATTTTGAAGAAACTAGAAAATGTTATCAAAAATTTCAATTTCTATCTAAGCAATTCATGAAATTAATTCAAAGCTAACCTTTCCTGTCACATATCATGACAGCATGATTTTACAACCTGAAACAAAATTCTGGAATAGTTAGCAAAATTTCATGGAATTATTACAAGTAAGGAATAATGAGCGGAATTGATCACCAAAAAATTCTGTAATAATTACCCGTAAATAGAAAGAATATTACAATAGCACAGATGGTATTGCAGTGATACTGATAAGATGAACAATTATTCAGGATGTTTTATGAATTTATGATAAAATTGATAAAATCCGAGTTAAAAAAAATTCCGTTTCCTTTAAATACCAATAATGCATATAAGTTAACATCAGTTTAATTAAGCAATATTAAAGAAAATCTGATGATGTTTTGTTTCTCATCTACTTATGAATGATAAGTGTGATAACGAAAGCAATAGGAACGATTGAAATTATTTTTTTTTTTTTGAAAAGACTAACTTTAATGATTTTAAACAGAAGGAATGCCATGATAACGATAAAAGGTGACAACAATTGATTCCATAAAATACCATCGAATACAATGGAAAAATTTAAGGGAAATTTGTCAAACTGGTTATTGATAACAAATGATTATCAATGAAATGAGCAATTTGTTCACATTGAATAGTTGAATAATGTCAACGAAAATTATTCGTTTATCAATTGATTGAAATGAAATCAATCAAACGGATTAAATTTTGCTTTCGAATTTGGCATTCTTGAAAGAAATCAATTTAAAATTTATATATCACTCCATGAATGCTTCTTTTTCCATTTTCTAATTTTACAAGATGATACCAAACGTATTGATTGATCTTTCTTTGCTTTTTCTGTTAATTGAAATTTGAATTTAACAAATTCAATTGTTAGTAATAACCAAAGATCATCATATAAACATGATAGTAATTCGAGAAATTGTGGCCTAATTTTTTCCCGTTTCTATGGATTGAAATTTCGATTTCATATGAAATCCTTATATCACCATAGATCAAAGATTAAATAGTATTTTGGTATGATTAAAAATCAATTAAGACTTTTTTAATAAAGAATTTGGGCAATGTTAAGAATTGAGTTAGTTATACTGGACGGAAGAAATTACTGATAATATCACACATGAAATTATTCCCTTCAAATTAAATTATTTTAATCATTAACATATAGCAAAAATTCTTATAAATTTAGTATTGGAAATAACAAAAATCTCTCACTAATTCAATGATATTATCATAAGCATAAGCTTATCAGTGCTATATATAGCTTGTATAAAATGATAATTAATGAGGAATACAATTACAATATGAAATTATAAATTACAACAATTTTATAGTCGCATTATCTGGACTTCGTTCTTTTAATATACTATTTAATTCCGCCTTACAGTTTTCTGTTCATTTTCAGAATCCACGAATAACAGTGATTTAAACCGGAACGGTTTTAACCTTAAAGGTTTACGGATGAATTCCGTAAGATTTATATATTTACTTGTCATCTGCTTCCGCTAAAAGATTAGCATTCCTCAGATTATAATATTCATTTTGGTTTCAGTTCATTTCATTTTAATGTATACGTACTTTTTTTTTTTTAATTCCTATTCATTTATGGCAATCATTACCGATAATATTATAACACTTTTGGTATTAATATCCGGAAAAAAGGATGAGAAAAGGAAATGTCATTTCGGATAGAATCAACAGAAACAATATCAACAATGTATAACTGTCACCATAAAACAGGTATTCATTATTATTCATCAAATGTCACTGCAATTAATAAGCTATCATAGTTTAATTAAAACTTTATGAATGACAAAAAAAAAAGAAAACTGAAAGCAGAAGAGTTGTGATAGGTTTGGGATAGAAAATTGACAGAAATAATATTTACGTTAATCTTCTTCCAGTCCTTCTGCTGCCTTTTCATTCCCTCCATACATTTTCCTGATGCATCATCGGCTATTTGCATATTCAATAAATTTACATTTCAACGTACAGACACACACAGGCACACACACACACACATATACATACACACACAGACATGGACAGACACATTCATGCAGAATGTATAATTGATATATTCCAGCATATATCCCATTCCTTTGACCATTCTCACAATTCAATTCCCAATCCAAAGTGAGCATAATTTGAATTGCAATGAAGAAAGAGAAGGAATCGATCAGGGAAATTTGCATAATCTGAAAAACGCTTTTTCCAGAATTTTCCCTATGCTACTATTTCATGAATTATTTGCTTATCTCCAATGCAACTATTGTCACATTACGCTATCTCATTCATTCTCTTCCGTACCAGAACTGTATCATCCTACTTACTTTCTTTTGTACCAGACTTATACCACTCTAACTTATTCATTCCTCATTCGAAACTATATCATCCCATTTGTTTCATTTCTGTATCCGAATCATAACCATCCGATTTGTTACATACCGGATACATCATCTCATTCGTTTCTGTCATATACTAAAACAAAATTGGCTGATTCATTTTGTTTTTTTTTTTGCACCAGAATTTGAAAAAACAAGTGAAAATAAAATTAGTTGAAGTGACCATTGGCCATTTTTTTTTTTTTTTTTAGAAAAAGAAAAGAAAAAATGAAGAGAAAAAAGAAAAAAATTCCTCGACCAATAATATGTAAACATTCATTTTCGTTAATAAAAAAAAAAAAAAAACTACAAAAAAAAAAATTATTTCGTTCCTTTCCAATTCATTGTGATTATTTAAATGTAAATTCTTGAATAGAAATGAAATTTTAATCAGGAAATTGATTTAACATTTCAATAATACTCCATCAATTGATCATATCAGAAAATGCTAAAGAAAAAAAAAAAAATAATTAATTAAGTGTTCTCTACCTGGTGTACAATGTTCTCATAATTATGTCTGTCAACGTACTTTTCTATCCATTTGTACTTTTCATTTTCAATTTCATATAAATTCTATTTACATTTTCTTTCATATTTTCCGAAATCGAACTGAAATTGACCTCTGTAATGCAGGTCACTTATAGATTCTGAAACTTGAGGTATACAATACAGGTGACCTGTTTTTTTCCATG